CAAAATAAAAATCAAAAGAATCTGTAAAAAATTGTAGCCTGTAGAGTGAGCACGAGTTGCACAATATAGCTAATAGAGTAAAACGTCAAGTCAGACACGATATTTCGGTGAAAAATTATCCGATCATCACGAAAATCAATAGGGATCATCTTCATAATGACATTGACACACAAAATAAAAATCAAAAGAATCTGTAAAAAATTGTAGCCTGTAGAGTGAGCACGAGTTGCACAATATAGCTAATAGAGAAAAACGTCAAGTCAGACACGATATTTCGGTGAAAAATTATCCGATCATCATGAAAATCAATAGGGATCATCTTCATAATGACATTGCCACACAAAATAAAAATCAAAAGAATCTGTAAAAAATTGTAGCCTGTAGAGTGAGCACGAGTTGCACAATATAGCTAATAAAGGAAAACGTCAAGTCAGACACGATATTTCGGTGAAAAATTATCCGATCATCACGAAAATCAATAGGGATCATCTTCATAACAACATTGACATACAAAATAAAAATCAAAAGAATCCATAAAGAACTGTAGCCTGTAGAGTGAGCACGAGCCAAAGGTGAACGGACGGACGGACGGACCGACGGGGTGATTACAATATACGCCCATCTTAAGTGTGGGCGTATAAAAATGGTCATATGATAACTCATTACTAGACACTGTATCCCAATATAAGTACTTAGGATTAATATTTTCACCAAAATTGATATGGACTTCGTCCAAAGAAACCTTAGCATCACAATGTGAAAATACATATACTTTGCCCAAACGCTTCGACTACAAATACTCTCCCCTTGATTGATTAACAATATATTTGAATTATATTATTTATAATTGTAACTATTTAAATTGTATATATTAGTATTTTATTGTATTGAATTGTATATATTATCATTAAATGAATTGAATTGTATAAAATTAAAATGAATGTAAATTGTTCTATGGGCATGAGCACTGTACAATTATAATATTTGAATGTTTATAAACTTACCTTTACAGTGTGCCTTAAAAACATGTAAATAAAGATTATTATTATAGCCGCTATCCATTCTTATAATCACAATTCGCTCGTGACATTTACGGCAGGACTGGTATATGTCATTGGGAGACATTACTGTCAGTATTAGAGATTAGGCTGATTGAAGTTACTATTCAATATAAGGCACTGGCACAGGGTTAAAGTTATGTTTACAATAATTGTGATGCTAATATGCAATGAACTAAATCAAAGATGATCATAACGGTTATCCTATAAATCTTCTTGGACCTAATAAAGAAATTCATAATACTTATAATCTACATTTACGGAAATAACATTATTAGAACAATTGTCTGTGGAATCATAAAAACTCTGACTGCTTCAAATTTTCTGGAATAATGAAGAAAAGCGGTTAATGGCTGCAGGTATAGAAAATAAATTGTTTCATACTATTATATATTATAAAGCACAAAGACAGTTAATAAAATGAGAATATTTAATTCTGTTAGATCACTCAACATCATCGGTGGGGTCAAGTCGACCACGAACAACTATATTCTGAAGAAATTTACTTTTCGAATAAGCTATGACTAATTTTTTGTAAAAAATAGTGGGAAATTTGTTTTGTAACTCTGTGTAGTATCTTTTGATAATTCGGGATGCTTGGCAAGAATGGAGGAACAAATGGGATTATTTGAGAATCAAAATGTATATTTAGTGAAATAGGTTTTAGTTGATTCATCCAAAAGCTCTCCCTGTATAGTCTTGAACTTTTAGGGTTGGTGTCTTCTTCTGCGATGACATTTTCAATGGGTGCCACCTTCATATCTGCGAGGGAATGGTTGAGAGAGTTGAAATGGTTCCCAATAGGTTTATCCAGATGATGGGAAATGTCAAAACGATGGCCGTTAATTCTTTCTCTCAAAGAGTTTTTAGTTTTGCCTACGTATGGTAAATGACATTTGTCGCATGAAATTAGGTAAATGATATTTGTGCTGGTACAAGAAAGCTCACCGTTAATAGGGAATTGTTTACCGTTATGCTTATTAGAGAAAGAATTGGTTGTTAAAATATGCTCGCAGGTTCTAGATCTTGTAGATCTGCACGGCCGTGATCCGAAAGATTGATTAGAGTTTACCGGAACGAGGATTGTTCCGATTCTCTACTGAAAGAGGTTTTGCTTTAATGCTGCGGAGATATCGTGGTTTCGCGCTCCCATTCAGCCATGAATATATTGGCATAACGTGGGGCAAATCTCTTACCCATTGCTGTTCCTGAAGTGTGAAGATAAACCTTACCGTTGAAATAAAACTCATTCCGTTTTAAACAAATTTCGAGTAATTTAAGAATTTCAGAATCGGGCCGTTTTGGGCCATGAGTTCTCTCAAAGCATTTTTTTTTTTTACAGCGTTCAAACTGGTTTCGTTGTTAATATTGGTATACATGCTACTAACGTCCATTGATATGTAGAAGGCATTTTCCGGGATTTCTAAACTCTTCATTTTTTTCAACAAAATCGGATGTGTCTTTTAGATATGATGGATGTTGGCACGCTAAAGGTAACAAAAAATGGTCAATGTATTCTGAGACTCGATAAGATTCGCTGGAGCAGTCTGAAATTATTAGTCGACCCTTAGGTATAATTTTCTGTAAAAACCATTCTGTTTCCAGGTTCTTTTGGATCTTCGGGAGTGTATAAATATGCCGTTGACGTGCCGTAGAACTAGCCGAAAGATAGTCGCATTGTTTATCGCAAATTTCTAAAATATCGGTATGTATTAAGGCATCTGGTGGGGTCCATTCAGATTTTTTCACAAATTTTTTTCTACCGAGGGTTTTCCCTTAAAAATAGGCCAGTTTTATTAATCTAGTCATTCGAATTTGCAAGTGGCATCTCAAATTTGGTCAATGGATGTATAAATTTAAGGCCTTTGTCCAATAGACTTTCTATAGATAGTGATCTTAAGCTCAGATTCACTACTGTTTTATCCAGGTTCGGTCCACCCCCCCCCCCCCC